AAATATTTGTATATCTCGCAAGCACCTACATCGAGAAAGCATTTAACTGAAGCCGATTTTCTGTCTCAATTTTAGAAGATGCTTTATTCTTGTTCATGTATTATATGTAATTATTTTTTTAGTTTTTCGTGTCTTTTAAAATTTAACAGATATCAATTCTGTTCATTGTTCCTAAAGAATATTTAAATAACACTTAATTTTGATACGTATCTTATTCCAATTTTCAGTGATGAGGATATCAACTTCACGGAGATTGTTATAAATAAAAATACCTGTTGTCAAGCTGAGCATTATTCACACATGCACCATAGGAATCTATCCGAATATGTTTCATTAATTCTGAGACATAACTATCCCTATCACTAGCAGTATCACAGTCAGATTGAATGTATAATACTGGTGCTAAATTTTCTGCACGCATCAATACAGATTTCTCTTTGGTAGACATGTAATACGAATTTGCTGCAAATATTTCATTTTTATATCTTTTTATGCACACATGAGGCTTACCCATAAAGTGGCATAGACGGTCAACATTATTGTTCAATTATATTTTTCAATATTATTGATGTTCCTCTAGACAATTCAGTATAATTCTCAATATAACTTTCAAATCGTGCAATTTATTAATTCTTTTAATTTATATTATTAATTTAATATCTCTCTTTAATCTTACCTAATTATTATTGACATAAATTAAATAAATTGAACAAAATATTTGATGAGAATCTATCGACATCTGATCACAGAATAAGCACAATATTAATAAAAAAACAAGAATTACTGAAGACAAATTCTGAAGATATTTCCAAACTGAATAGCACCTCCTTAACTGGAACAGCTATCATTCTACGTATCATGAGCAAATAAAGGGTGCATTATGATTAGTTTTTCCAAAAAATGATAAAAAATAGTCATTCAAATGTCATTATTCAGTGTTAATTTTGATATAAGAAGCATGGTTCATTTATAATACTAGAAATAAATGATCATATTGATATCTTTTGAGCAATAGTACTCTCAGATTGATCAATATCTTAGTTAATAAGTTGCATAATATATTTCAAAGTATTTTTTGTTGATATAATATCAGAGTTGCCACAGACCTGGAAAACCAGGAAAAATTAGGGAAATTGAAATTGGTCATGGAAAACCGGGAAAAGTCAGACGAAAATGTAAAAGTCTGGAATTTCGAAATTTGTTTACAATTTCCTTAAACTCCTATTCCAAATAATGTTATAATTTTTTAAATATTATATCTGACATTTATAGTCAAATACGTTCAAAATTTGCGCACTTTAAACGATTTTAATAAAATAAATAAAATTTATATTTTATTCGATCAGTATTTTTATTTGATCCCTTTTTTTCGTCATAACTGCATTTTTTTCCAAAACTAATTTATTTTTTGCTGGCTTGAATTTGCACCTAAAATTTTACTATGTTACTAACTTTTTTTGCGTCGTTTTTAATAATATAGACTAGCTTTCCTACAATCCTTGAGTCTAAATGTTAAAATTTACATATTTTATGTTCATGTCATGGAAAATTTTCCATTTTCATCTGGAAAATCTGGAAGGTAGAGAATTTTTAAATTCATTTTCTGGCAACCCTGAATATATTGTAAAAAAATCCTTAATATTGCCTCCAGACGATTAATAATATTATATAATATTAAGTATTCTTTAATAATATCAATCACCTACAAGTCGCTTAAAATGTTCGATCATATGTATTGTTACTTAAATAATAAAAAATTAGAATTGAAGAATGTAAAACTTTTGTTAGTTAGATCAGGTGTCTCAAGACTTATTGTGACAACTGTTAATAACAAATTCTTGAGATAATTTATCATTTTGAAAAATTTGAAAATTTTAATATCAAAGCTACAATAGTTTTTAAATGAGAAAGGTTTTACATTAACCAATTGGTCTATCCAAAATTCGCACGGTTAGACATGATATATTATATAATAATGTAAAATATTTTCAAGCACCAATTCTATTTCTCTTTTATTCTTCTATACACCTTCACTATTCTAAAATATGTCATTACTGAACATATGAATTTCAGACAGTTCCAATTAGCTAATTTTAAAAACCCTTCTCATTTAAAAACCACTGTAGAGCCATCTCGATATTTTGATATTAGAATTTACAACTTTCTAAAATGATCTCAAGAATCTTAAATTAATGAATGTTACAGAAGTCTGGGATATATTTTGTATATATTTTTGTCTATAATTACCTACTAATTCTTCTAGACCAGGTAAATCAAGAAGTGTGAGTGGTACATTACTTAATCTGCTAAAGGTCGAAGAGTAATTAAAAAGATTAAGCGCTTCTTCATGGACAAGTATAGGATTATTCCTAGGGGATTCTTCATGAAGTAAGCCCCATGATATGGCACTGCTCCTCCAATTGGGCAAATCATGAATACGGAGATTACTTCCGTAAAACAGAACACTCTATAAAAGTCAGTAGTGTGTGCAAGATATCGAAATTGATTGAAAGAAATAGAAATATAAAGGGGTCATACTTTTAAGTTCACATCATTCACAAATGTTCTATTATGTGTGAGGTAACATCTGGCATTCCTGCAGGTTTTTACTCGATTATTATTACCGAATGGCGTCCACCATAGTATGACAGGTACGTCGTCATCTGGGTACAGAAAATCGAGATACGTCAATCTTTGTGGAAAAGCATCGATATGGCATATAATAAATTACCTGAGAAAGACAATCTTTTGCGATCGCGGAGTATTAAACATAACTAAAAATTATGAAAATGAATTAGCGGAAGCACGGAAATGCGGGCGTCAGAGTTTGATGTAAATTTTATTACATATACCTGAAATATCACGAAACATACACTCAGTGCTGTCGCAACTGTAAACATGACGCGTATTTTCGGCGGCATTATAGTTTCAAATGCATATTTATAAAGAATAAAAAAGAAGCTATCATCTTTTTAAAATTAATTACTAAATGACTAAAACAAATGATGAGACATAACCAAGAAGCAAAATGTCAAACGTGTCTCTCTCTCTCTCTCACCCCCTCTCTTTCTCCCTCCCTCCCTTAGTAGTATGATGGAATCAGAGAAACCTAAGAAAGGACATGATGACCCAAAACATGTAATGCATGGTCTACAATAGGCAGTAGAAGTAGTGGATTAAGAAGTAGGTGTAGAAATCGACCAATGATAGTTAAGTATCCTTCTCACATTCGACTATGATTTCTTGATTAACATTAAGCACATGACACATACAAAAACGTAAGGCCATAAGACCACCGACGAGATACTATTAAAGACCGACATCCTTACAGGAGTTCGCGTCCTTGTGAATATTGAATTAATTAAGAGTTAAAAACTGATAATATTGCATTAATTTTATGATTTATTAGTTTAGTAGATGTATTTATGCATTTAGAACTCAATAATATTCGATTTTTCTTTAAAATTGTGATTTCAGTATCATCGTCAAAGTTTCATTATTAACAGAGATGATAACTGCAGAAAAAAAATTGTAATTTTTCTGCAATATATAGAATATTATAGCTTTACAAGTATGAGTATTTATTTATGGAACATTTATGTAATAAAAAATCATGATTTTAATAATGTATGAGCCAAATATTTATGTTAATAATAGTAAATTTATATCAATTGTCGATAATGTCAGCGTTCTTCAATTACCTCCGAGCCCTTGGAGCTCTTTTTATATCGCCGAAAATTTGCCTAGGATTGACGGTGTTTAATAGCATCTCGTCGGTGATAAGCCATAAGCAGTAAGGAAATCGCAAGATTGGATTCGCTATTAGCTTTACGATCTCTACCGTGATTGGGCAATTCGCTTACTGATTACGCTTATGGCTTTACGTTTTTGTATGTGCCATGAGCTTAAGCGAATTGCCCAATCACGTTTTTCTATGTGCTCTTGGCTTAGGGTTGCCGCACACAAAATTCCGTAACATGCGTAAGGTGTAAACTTAAGCCGATAAGCCAATCAGGATGCTGCTTTAGATTACGTAATCTAACGGAAATGGAAATAACAGTAAACTTACCCACAACCTCGCAATAAGGTGAATTTCAATCGGTTGAAACTCACCTTATGGATAAGTTTACTGCTATTTCTATTTCCGTTAGAGTACGTAGATCTAAAGCAGTATCCTGATTGGCTCATCGGCTTAAGTTCATGTCTTATGCTTACTGTTACAGAAATTTTGTCTGCGGCAACCCTTAAAGTATATCCACACAAATTTGCATAACCGCATAAAAACGTGAACCAATCACATAGCTAATATAAGCGATGTCATATTGGCTCATAGAATTTACATATGGCACGTGCATGTTTTTATTTTAATTTTTATGATATATGAATAAACGTGCATAAGTACATAATCATTTACATGAGCAAGTGGACCAATCACGTACTTGTTGTGTAGAGCAGAAATATAGTATATGCGTAAGCAGAAAAATTTCATATTGTTGAAATTTTTATGTTATGAATATGCAGAGTCAATCAGTCAATGAGATGCTTATAAAACAGCGTTTGAGATTCATTTCATTATATACTTGCATTGTATAATAGTATTTTATAGTTCGCTGCATTCAGCAAAACACAACAGTTTTGCAACAGTTTTATGATTCTCTGCTGAGATAGGACCATTCCTCTTGATTTAAAAGCATAACCCAATCAGGGTGAAGAAAATTTCCAACAGTTGCAAAATAAACGTTCTGCTGAACGCAGTCATCGTTAAAGGGTCGTCTACATAAGTCGCAAACGCAGTTCGCAGACGCATTTGCAACAGCCAATGAAAAGTTGTTATTAGTATCATTGACCATTGTACCGCTTCTGATTGATGAACTACGTTCTGCGTTTGCAACTTATGTAGATGGCCCTTAATCCACTACAGCTACTACCTATTGTAGACTACGCATTTACCCTTCTACTATGATGCCGCAGTGCATGCTCGCGTTGTAGTATTTTGCATATTTTGTGATTGACAGATTTCTTAACCTGAATAAATAATTTTGACTTAAAATAGTTCGGTTTACGGAGCAGAGTGACACTGTTTTCTTGTCAAATCTTTATTTTTACGCTAAAACGCATCGATTCAGTGCATTTTTATCAAAATTTGAGGTGGAGGAGTTCTTAATATTTATCGAAGGAAATATAAGTTTTTTCTTGGAAGATGAACTTAATTTACCGATACGAAAGCGTATGAAACTTGTTCTCTATTTGTATCACTGGATATTTATTGATTTGAGTATAATATTTATTAGCAAAATGGATATTCTAAAAGCAGAAATAATGAAGAAACGTAAAGAGTTAGAAGAAAGTCACGTTTTAGTACGTCGCATGTGTGATATGTAGTTTGTGATTTTATAGTGTTCCGTCATTGTACATTATAATACTTATTTGTATTAATGTCTCTTTTAGGAAAATAATAAGAAGTATTTTAAAAGGAGTCAGTTGATATCGAAGCAACAGGAAGTATATGAAACAGATAAGGGAAACAATGAAGCTGTTTTGTTAAATGTTAGTCAGCAGTCAGAAGAACATGTAACAGATAGTAGCTCCGAACATTTACTGTCCAGGCAAGAAGTAATTAGGCGATTACGCGAACGGGGGGAGCCTATATTATTGTTCAGTGAATCTGAGGTAGAAGCGTTCAAAAGATTAAGGAAATGTGAAATCCTTGAGCCAGAAGTGAATAAGGTAAAATATCTATTATACTGTTACATACATTACTTCTGTCAATTAAAAAAACAGCTTAAAATGAAAATTTTGATTGTGATAATTTATCAATAGGGCTTCAGAAACGATTTTCAAGAAGCTATGGAACAAGTGGATCAAGCATATCTCAATGAGATTTTAACATCTTCCAAGTCCCAAAATCTTGATGGAAAAGGAGATGTAAATGTGCCTGACGAGAGTGTTACTTATGAAGATATAGAAAAGATGTCAACTAAACTGAATAAAGGAGACAAGGATTTTGATATGAATGTTATCACTCTGTTTGTACAATATTTAGTTCAAATATGGGGTAATCAATTAAACAGCCGGTCAGCTGCCGAAAAAATGAGCACAAAAGGAAAGATGAATAGCGCCACGTATGCTCAAACGAGAGAATATTTAAAACCACTTCTAAGAAAATTGAACAACAAATCTCTTCCGGAGGATATTACTGACAGTTTAACAGAAATCGTTAAACATTTGTTACAGCGTAACTATATATTGGTATATATGTGATACATTACATATAAAATAAATATCCTGTCAATATGATAAATATGATAATGGCAAATATTTGTATCTATGACAATCAAATTTTTGTTTCAGGCTAGCGACGCCTATTTGCAAATGGCAAT